ATGAAAACTCGTTACAGACGCACACACAGACACACATACACACACATACATACAGACACACACACAGACAACCCTTCGACAATATGCGTTTTTGCATCGCATAGCTGCAAAAAACGCATTGAGCTCCCGGCATTTACCCACTGGGATTCGCAGCATTTTATTTTATATCCCCGTCAGCCCTCCGATGCGCATTGCTATTATTTATCCGCTCGCCACTTATTTGCTTCTGGCATTTTTGGCTTGCTGCTTATGTAGATCTCGTCAGCTTGTTCCGGTAACAGTTTCCGAGCCACTGGCGCAGTTTTGCAGCGAGGCATCAATGGAGTCGCAAATGAGTTTTTTGACTGTCTTGGAAAAAAATGAAACGCCTGTTTTCAGCTTGGATTTGATTAGCGCACACAATCTCCAGTGATGAACAATTGTTCTCGCATCGCCGCGTTCACTTTCAGGAAAAACATTTTTGTTTTACACCGTTTTTTAAAGTAGCAGACAAGCTGTCAAAAATTCTGCATTTCATCAGGTGAATAGAGCAGCATATTGTAAGAACGCTAGAACACCATTCCGTTGGAAAAACGTGAAAAATACCACAGAACATTGAACAACAAATAAAATTGAACTCGTGCATTATAACATTAATTGATTCCTCTTTAAAATTAGTGGTGGGAAAACCAAGACATCTGAAATTTGATTTTCCGCTTGCGGTCCCGCGCAGGGAAGAGGGTGTTTTCCGAACTGTCTGCGCTTCTGCTTCTGACTAATCTGACTAATTGATATACATATAAACAAACGCGGGTTGTCACAGTATGCGTTCCCGCGTTTGCATAAATATGCCAAAAGTCACAAAAATAGAGGACTCCAGTTGTATCAATGGGGCCAAGAAATGCAGCAGTGAGTCAACAGCTAAGCAAAGCATTAGAAAGGGGAAGTATTTAGGAATGAAATCTCAAGTTTGCCCGCTTTGATCTCAAAATTAGCTGATTTTTCTAAATAGTTTCTCCTTGAATTCATTTTGTCAATCAGCTCAGTTCAGGTTGTGAAAAGTGTGATTTACGCTCGTCTTTTTGCCAAAAAAGCAGCAGCACTGGTGATGTAAATTGCATTTGCCGATCTGGATTTATTGGCGATAGTGCAGGGGACTGTCGCCCGGTTTTCGGTAATCCATTTGAAGAAAAATCTTCCGTCTGAGGATAGAAAACGCTTATATATGGCTAAAAACAGGAGGCAAAATGAGGGAAATGTAAAGGACGAGCAGTGTAGAGTACGAGAGCTCTTTATTTGTTCCGGAGACTAACAAAATTTTTTATCTTGTACGAAGGAGGTGCAGAAAGATGAAACGGTGAATGTAAAAGTCCGTCGAATAGCGTAAAGTTGCCAGTAATTCACATAAAAGATGAAAAGTACTAAGTGCAGTGAAGTGAATAACTTAATCAAAAACGTCAAATTTGTGGACATAATGCAGTAGAAACAGGAAGATATTGAATTTGTGACTTATGCAGATCTCTACTCATTTTTTAGAGCCTATGGAAGCTGAAATGTCAAGCAGTAAATGCATTTTGGGATACGCTGAAAATGCAGCAACAAGGTGAGGAAAAGATTTGTTGCGTCCGCTTCGCAGAGTAAAATTATTGGTGTCACAGTACCTCATACCGCTCTCCTACCCTTCCTGCTCTCTCCTTACTCTCTTCCCCTTCCCCTCCAACTCGCCCCTCCTTTCTAGAAAAAGTAGCGCAAAAGCTCGATATGACAGGTTTCAAATAGCGAATTCGAATTTAACGCTTATTTTGTGGGCGGACAATTTTTCATCATCTTTTTGTGCAGTCAATTAAAATTTTCAGTCTGAAATTGAGAAGAAAACAAATAAATTAACAAAGAAGTGCTTTTTGCTTTCTTCACCTATTTGTACAGTCAGATACAAACAGAACCTCGGAATCGGCTGAAATATTATTCCAAGTCAGCAAGTTGTGTTTAAAAATAAACAATTAATGGATTTTTTCAAGTCTAGATTTTACTTTTGTATTGGATGAACAGATTTTACATCGCAACTGTTATCATTAATATAGAATTGCAGGATTTTAACGGAAATATTGAAAAAATACGATCGAAATCTGGTGCCAACAATGAGAGGCGTCGATGTTGATATTGAGCTTCTCATTCAAAAGGTAACTATAAAATGGAACTGAAAGGGAACAGTCTTAAATATGAATTGTGATTCTCTGTGTGGGATGGCTGTGTCAGAAAATTAAAATACTTGAATGTGGTGGTTTCTTTTTTTTTTTTTTTAATGTACTGTTGCTTTTTTTCACAGCATTTCCACAAAGACGTAGATAAAATACACGACGCCAGCGAGTTTTCGGAGTTTTTATTTCCTCGCTTTTGTAAGCACATTTAGGATTTGCGTGTTTTTCTAGATATCAGAAATTTCGGAAATTCATAGCAGCTCAAAAATGGACATATTGTTCTCGCAAATTTGGCATGACCCTGGCTTATCATTTCAGGTAATCTCCAATTTTCCTTAGTAAAAAATTGTAACCTTTTTTTATAAAACAGAATGCTTTTGAAAGATTCAACAGTCAGTGTGGCTGCTGTTCATAGTTTGTTATCGGCTTGCGGCTTTATTTCAGAACATTTAGCGCCCTTCACTTCTAACTTGAATGATCTTCGTTATCGCAAGAACTGTCAATAACACGCGTGAGCAGTAGAAAAACAGAATTTGTTAGTAGTGTTTTATCGATTTAAAACTTAGATTCTTTATTAAATTGTTTCTAACATTCAAGAAAATGTGTTCACACTAAGGTTTTGATGCTGAGGATTTTGTATCACTCCATATTTTGAAATTATTCTTGATTTTTGCTAACGACCAGATTGCTTCAAGTTTGGTTGAAAAACACATAATCACACCGGCAAGACTGGTGAGTTTTAGCTTGGGGTCTCAACTGTTTCATGTATTGAAAATGCGTGTTATAGCTAGACAATGTATATGTGTCTGTATCCGAACGTCTGTCCATTTATTTGCTTGCTGGTCCGTTTGCCTTTCTTTCCATTTCCAAAACTGGAAAATTCAACTGTGGAAGTATGCAGATTAGCCAGGAGCTCAGATTCTCAACGTTTAGTCGCGCTTATACGTGAATCTAAAAACAGTGACGTCCCTCTGCGCACTGGTAAACAAACACACGATTTTGTTTCTAACTAGCATGGGCTTTTCGTAATCGGAGAATTTTATTCATTTTGTTGGATAGGAATCTGAGCTGCAGTTTGGGGGATTAGCCAACAGCTGTGTAGACACATCAATATTCCAATCCTCCTGTAAAGCCTACAGAACATGAATGGACTGAGAGCAGCACAAAAATATCGTGGGAATATTTTCATGATGTGTTTTTGCAAGACACAAAGTGCCGTAAACTGGGCAAGCCAAAAAACTTACTGCAGAAGTGTATGTTCACTTTGCTGTTTTTATTTAAGCAAGGATTTGGCTGGAAGGAAAGTGATTCTCGTACAAAAATTAGGTTTCAAAAAATTGTTTGGTGAAATGCAAATACTTATAAATACTGTCTATTTTAATAATTTGTATTTTTTTCCTTTTTACATCCATCGATTCAAATAATGTATTTTGTGGAAGCATGCTTTCAACAAAAAATATATGCGTGGAAGCAGTTTGAAGGCAGTACTGTGTTCTTGACAACCGACTATACAAAAAGAGTTTGGATCCGATGAATGACTTTCTTTACCATCACCTCAAAGAGGTTTTTCACTTTACGGTAACCGTACCCAGTCATCAGATGAAACAGCGACCAACACGTCTAGAATGAGGACAAAACTTCTGGTCATTTTGATTATAAGTGGCGTTGTATAGCAGTGTAACTGGATGCCTTTCTTAAAGAACTGTTTGGCTCTACTCACACTCTGCTCACCAGAATGCTATTCATAAGAATATTTATACTTCTTTCTTTCGATCGGGAGTTGAGTTTAGCTTAAGAAATGTCCATGATTTCGGGCTAAGAAGCGATTCTCGAATCAAGCTTATATGTTTTGTGCCCGACCGCTCCTGGGCAAAAACAAACATTGCCAAAAAAAAGGAAAAATGTGATTGTGTTTTTGGATGTACATATCGCGGTACCATTTAACAAAAGAAAGAGGAAATATTAGGACACTGTAATTTGAGTATTTAAAAAATCCTCTTAATTTGTTGAGGATCTCGAAGGTGCGCAGTGTTTGCAAAATTTATCGCTCTCGCATCGAATGGTTGAGCATTTATGGATACCAAATGTATGCATTGTAAACAGCAAAGGATCTTCAATCCATCAGTCCCCCACACCGAATGTTTTCCTTGCCATTCTTCCAAACGGGACAGTTTGGATGAATTACAGGTAGCTTTTTCTTTAAACCGAAAGTAAGCAGCTGTAAGTTCATTTTGCGGCATTTTTGTCTTTGTTAGTGATCTCACCATGGTCTAGGAATGACAGTGCTGTAGAAGTTGCGGTACTCAATTTACATCAGTGACATCTCGCAAGGCTACAGCCACTAAGCCGGTATCCCTACAAGATACGAATAGAACGCCAGAACCGTTAGCAAGTTAAGCAACATGAGAGGCAAAGTTAGTTAAAGCAATTGAGGAATTTGCAGCCATTCAGTTGAAAATCATCTAAAAATTACAGATGCTACATAGAAACAAAATGTGTACATAATATTTCGTGAAATCCAGCCCAAGCATTTGGATCTCGTGTAGTGTAGCATAATTTGGGCAATAGGGAATTGCGGCAATAGTTTGAAACTTTAAAAAATCCTGTAAACTCAGACAACGCATTGTATTACACTTTGTTTGAATTTGCTTGGCCGGTCCTCAAGTACATTACTTAAGTACTGTTACAGTCTAATTTGATTGTTTGGTCAACAGTACACAAATATTTGGGCATAAATTTGATATTCAGATTGGTGCTGAATAGAGACTTGCTCAGAAAAAGCGAAGCACATCTGTCCTTGCTAAGGGGAACTCTTGAGACAAAAAAATGTGATAAAGCACGCCGGTGAATGAAACCAGTGAAAGAACACAAAATTAATTAGCAGGCAGCAATTTGTTCAGAAAGCGCAAGATGAGTTTGTTCAGCAAAAGCAAGCGCAAATGAGAAAATTATCTTAATTAACAGAAGCACCTGGAAATGTCGTACTGGGCTGGAAGCTAAAGTAGTAGCTCCAGTTGCGCTACACTGAGAGTTTATTACGTGGTAAGTTTGTGGCGCAGGTACGGAGGAACATGTTTCTGGTAACCAAATGGAAAGGAACACAGCACAGCAGAAAGAACTGAATAACAAGATCAACATACCCGCGCTTTCTACACCGTAACAGTTCGCTACTCTATGGGCCTATTTCCAGAATTGTGGTGGAGGCACCATGTGAAATGGATTTCACAATTTTCCCAATGGACCGCGTGGAATGCATGATGGTTTTTGAAAGTTACTCGTTCAATGTTGGCAAAGTCCGGCTACACTGGAAACGTCATGGCGTTCCAGTGGAAGTGATCGGGGAAACAAATTTACCGGATTTTCATATGACACATTATATTCATGAAAAAGCAACATTCCAATATCCAGCCGGAGTTTGGGATCATGCAAGCTTTTCGAATTCTACCAGAAGTTAAATTTATAACCCTGAAGTTCAAAATTCCGCCATATTTATTACCTCTCTTACTTTTTTTGTTGTCCAGCTTGCACTCAACGTCATTCAGCTTTGGTGTTTCTTTTTACGATCGTTTCTTCCTAATTTATTCAAAACTCAACACAAAAGCTCTTTAATTTGGTCATGTGTTGCCTATAGTTAAACCCAGGCTGAAAAGCGCCGGGCTGGTCCGTGCGATCATGCGTTTTTGCACCGGGCTTGAAATACTCAGGTCATTAACTGCATGAGTGGTTGCTGCTTTATACCTACCTTTTGCGTTCACTAACATAAATCACCATAAATTTTGAATAAAGAGAATGAACAGCTTCCGTCTAACGGCCGTTCTTTAAAGGTAACTTAGCTGTTCAATGAGAAATTTTTCCGTAAAAACTTTTAATTGCCGCACGTAAGAACCATGCATACCTTAAGGCTGAATTTGAAATACTTAAGTTGTACAAGGAACATTCCTCCAAAATTTCAGCCTTCCATCTTTTCTGGTTCCCGAGTTTTTCAACGCGGCACCCAGGCGTCCGCGGCGGACGAAATTAAAACGGAAGGGTTGCGCATGATATGGGCACATATTCCCAAAGTTTCAGCCTTCTAGCTTTTCTGGTTCCCGAGTTGAAAACAATTGAATACCTTAAAAAAAACGCTCAAAAAAACTTTTATTATGTCCGGAAACTTTTTGCTACTGAGAAATATGGTAGTGAATGAATAAAATTGCAGTTGATCATCAAAAAAGTTGCAGGAAATTTTCGTTTACCAAAAAAAGTGATAAATAGTGCAGGTGAGAGAATGGTCGACAATTTTCGGGAGAGCGTGCTACCAAATCTTCTTCGTAACGCAGGAGCAAGTGCAGACTCAGGTGCGCGAGATCAAAAAGACGGGGATACGCAATAGTTTTACACGTTCCGCAACTAATATTTAATATAAGCTTATTGACGTGGAGCCGTCTGTTTTTCTTCGCCTCGATTTAAATGCTTCGTCAATCGATAAGTTCTGACAAGGGTGTTTGTCAACTATTACAGTTAAACACTCAGTTTTCAGTTGAATATAAAATTGTATTTTCGTCGTTCTTATGGCTTTTATTTATTGCAAATTTACTTGCCAACCTATTGTATGGTGCTTATTTCCTGGATTTCATTTTGGCTGGACCGGCGATCATTACCTGCGCGGGTTACTGTCGGTGTTTCTTCACTGATGGCCCTTACTCTGCAATATTCCAACGTTGCTAGGTCACTTCCAAAGGTCTCGAAAACACACACTATTTTTACTTTAATTGCACAAATTAATTTTTCTGGCTTCAGCAGTGTTAACCTCTTCTTAAACATTGTCTAGCGATTTCGAAGGTACCATTAGGAAGAGCAAAATCTACTGCAGTTCGTCTTTTCCCTTCGGCACTTGACTGATATTTTACTCGAGTTTTTCCCACCCATTTTGTTCTACTAGATAAGTAATCCTGAGACAAGAAATCTATCAACAGCCTTTTAAATAATTTTAAAAAGGAATGATGCTCAGCTTTCTCGGTAAGTGCATCAGCCTTTCTTTGAAAGCAAAAAAGAAGCAACTAGTACTGGTTTTGAAGCTTCGAAATCCGAAAATTTTTAAAAACTGGTTTAAAAACCATTTCAAAAGTTTACGCTGGGAAAACAAAAAACTTGGAAGAACTGGAAGATCAAAAAACTTTATTCTGTCTATTCGCAAGTTAAATTAAAGGGTACTGTAGTAAATCTGAGTTTGTCAGTGCTGGTGTGCTTCTTTACCCAAAAATGATCGAAAATTTTTAATCCTTTTATTGTCAAGCTTCCAGAATTGTGGAACAATTTCAGCAGAATGGCAGAATTTTCTACACAAAAATTGTGAGCTTGTTTTTAAGGTATCATATGTGAAAGGCTTGGATTTGTTCATGTTTGGTTGCGTTGGCTATATCTTTCTCTCAATTGTTGAATTGGCTATAGTTGGGATGTTGGAAAAGCCAATGGAAACAAAAAACGAGCTGAAAGTAATGGGCGCTTATTCGTTTGGAAGTCGAAATCGGCATGTTAAGCGGTTTTTTGGAAAAGCTCGTCGGAGGAAGGTTTGCTTCAAACAGTCATTTCAAAATCCATTTGTTATTCAACTATTTTTATGCACGTTGCATAACGAGTTATGAAATGCGCAAACTCACATTGCCGAGAGGCTGTCGATTTGTGTATGTAAGTATGTTTAATTGAATTTTGTCACCCATTTCCAACTCAACAAGCAGAGAAGCCACGAATCTGAAATTTTACAAAGATATCTCTAAGTGCGGCTTCGTAGACGTGGCATCGACTACTATGAAAGTCCACGTCTCCAGAATGAATGCTTGAAAGGGAAAACTTAAAAAGCGTTGGCAGGAAATGAATTCGAAAAAAAAAA